ATATATATATATATATATAGATAGATAGATAGATAGATAGATAGATAGATAGATAGATAGATAGATAGATAGATAGATAGATAGATAGATAGATATTGGTTTTCTTATCTATCTATAAGTCTAAGGAACTGAGTAAAAAAATTAGAAAAAAATTAAGTAAGTCTTTAAGGTAAACTATGAAATCATTAATAGGGTAATCCATCCATCCATCCATCCATCCATCCATCCATCAATCCATCCATCTCACATTTAGTGGGTTTAGGAGAGTCAGCAGTTTACTAAGTGATTTTCACTTTTTAAAACGTGAAATAAGGAGGTTCAGATTTCAATGCTTTAAAAAAAAATAAAAACAGTAATGAATAAAACAGAACTTCTTTTAAGAAGCTGTAACTTTAAATGCTGCCTCTGATTCCCGTTCTCATTCTTCAGTGCACAGAAAGGAAGTCAGTCTGATGTTTTAATCATGCAGTCTGACTCCAGTGGCTGTGGTAGCCTGTGATATGTCATTAGTCACCACTCGAAACCACTAAAACAGATGCTGCATGTTTCATAGGAAGCGGCCTAAGCCAGAGAGTGGAATTTTGGACCATTCCGAAAATCCCATTCACCTTCTTTTAAAATGTTTTTTTTTTTTTCCATCCTCGCTCGAGTTTCACTGGCGAGGGCTAAGAAGCTGAAGCGAAGAGTTAAATCTCTTAAGAAGTGGGAATATAACGCAGAGGAAGTAATAGATCACATTTTCCTGAAAAAAGTATATATCTAGAGGATCTGTATGAAGGAAAAAAGAAGAGGTCTTGGCTGAAGAAAAAAAAAGATCAAATGTGTCTGATGTTATGCCTTTGTGTATCAGATGCTGGGATTTCAAACAACAAAACCAGGTTTTTCTAGGTCTGGGCTTAGTCTTCAAAATTGTGAAATAAAACTGAGAAATAACTTCCATTTTCCTGTTTAAACACACACCACAACTGCTGACCGGTTAGTTCACTGTCTGGTTTTGTTTCACAAATGTGACCCGATAGCAGCTGGGTCACCACAGCAGCTATTTCTGCCTCCACCTCTGACATCCAGCCTCCATCACATCCCAAAAAAGCCTTAAGCTGACTGTAAGGACACAGCTAACACACACAAAAAATGCATGTTAGCAACATTAGCATCTCTCGTTTCTAATGTAACCATGTCATAGGTAATGAAGCCTCAACAGCATGTCCATAAGTGAATATTTGGTGAACTGTTTTTGTTATTGTCCAACCAACGTTTGGCTTTGTTAGCTACAGTTAAATTACAGCAGGTTCAGTTTAAAAATAAATAAGGTAATGAAGCCTCAACAGCATGTCCAGAAGTGAATATTTGCATTAGCTTCAGTTTACATATTTCTATGTTAGCTACAGTTAAGTTATCCCTTTCGGAGACAGCAGGTTCAGTTTAAAAAATAATAATCCAGAAGTCACACAGCAAGATACATGAAACACAGAGCAGGTGTAGGAATTGAAGAAACAGAAACCGAGCTATGCTAACTATGTTGTCTTTGGTCAGTTTTAGCCATTTTATTTGCCAACTTTTAAGCTACTCTGTACTAATTTTGCTACATTTTCACTTGCTTCTTATGGCTTAGACATTTTTACAGTAAATGTAACTTTTTTTTAGCAAGACAAACAATTTATAGGCCAAATGTTTAATCCACCATTTTGTCTGTATTTTCTACCATTTTGTTGCTTCTTGGATAAATTCTATCTGTTCTGCTGGGGGTTAGTTCAAAGAATATTTTTAAATAATATGTTATATTACCTATTTATATTCATTCTTTGCTTTGTACATTTTTTTATTATTATTTTAAGTCATTTAAAATTGTATTATTATTTGTTTGCTTTTGGTTGATACCTTAACAACAACCATAACAACAAACATTCATGTTAGTTTCTGACACATTCATTTTATACATGGACATATTTCAGTATTCATCTGTCCAAATTTGTTTACATAAATTTGACTTTTTTTGTTTAGTTTAGTTTTGATTTCACAGTGTTCGAGCTGATCTGTCTTTGCAAAGAAGAGGGTAAGAAGGAAGGAGGAGCGTTTGATTGGAGGATCAGGGTCTCTGGTTTTTACTGACAACAGTAAAAACAGATGGAGGTCCTGGCGCGCAAACACACATACACATACACACACACATCTAAAAACTGAGACACACACAAACATAAGAAGCAGAAAAGATTTAGAGCCCTTGTCTCCCCAGTTCATTCTCAGGATCATGTTTCTGTTTTGTTCCTGTATTTTCTCCTGTGATTTACACATAATCATAATTTACTGCAAGGATTCAGTTGTCTCTGGAAGTCCGGGTCAACGTCAACATCTCTGACAACGGCTTCATGTCATTGTCTGCACTGAACTACCATTTGTTTGTCAGCTGTAAATGTCACCGTATACAATGGCAGCAGGGGTCAAGGGTCAATGGAAGCCTGTGAAGATGGAGGCTCCTGGATTTTACAGGGCTCCTGAGGTCACATCCTTCACACACACACTCTGCTCGGGTTTCTTGTTGCTTCTTTACTCAGCTGTCAGACTGGAGAACCAGGATCTGCTTTACAGAAGGTGAGGACTGTGGAAAAAAAAATCACATTTTATAATTCCTATAATTAATAATTTCTTCTATTATGTCTATTAGGTCATGGTCATAATTATAGCCCCTCCATTTTCATCTATTAACTAATATTTTTTTGACCATTTTTTTTATTTGTATACACGCTATATTTTAACATTCAGTCTGCTTTGCTTAACATTTTGTTGCCTGTCATTATGAAAAGTCAACTAATATTTGCCATTTTCAATTTCAATTTAGACAGTACAGATTGTTTTGGGGGGAAAAAATGAAAGTATTTTCTGTGGAAATTTGATTGCGTCAAGAAAACGTTGAAACTGTTTTCTGTTGCTGTTTGCTGCCACCTAAGGGACGTTTTTATAAACAATAAAACAGTATGTGCTTTGCTCAGGCTGAGTTTTCATTTTAACCGGGCATCATTATTATTATCAGCAGTGTCAAGTTGACCACCAACATAGTGGACATGGTTATAGTGGATCAAATCAACAACAACAGCAACAACAACAACAATAATAATAGTAATAATAAACAGTACCTTCATTCAAGGTAAAAGGAAAACCCCTTGGTCATTTTTCAGTGTGTGTTTCAGTCACTGGTATTCGTCCATGTTCTTTTGCAGCAGGTGATTCAGTGCCAGATGTGTCCAATCACAGTGCTCCGAGACATCTGTCACCTGTCTTCTCAGCTGAGTTTGGTTGAGGATTTCCAGGATTGCTTGAGCTAATCTCAGCTGTCAGTGTGCCAGGTTTAGGAACACACAAGATAGTCCGCCAGTCTCACCAATCTCTGGGCCAAAGAAGACAATTCACACTTCCATTCACACCTGTGGTCCCCTCAGAGTGAACAATTAAACTCAGTTCTGCATGATTTTAAACTGTGGGAGGAAAGTACAGAGGGAGAAAAACAAACAAAACAACACACCGACTTCATACATTACAACAACACACACGTGACCTTTTTGCTGTCAGATTAAATAGTGTTATTTTATGTGCCATAAAATAACACTATTAAATGAGGGTTAAAAATTTTACAAGACAATATGAATAATGCACATTCAAAAATGTATTTATTTATTTAAAATTTATTGTAAAAATGAAATAAAACTAATCCAAAATTTGACTTTTCTTTTACTAAGAACAGGAGGTTCTAGGTTTTGTTTGTTTGTTTTTGCTATCTTTGTTTAACTTGAAGTTAGCACAGACTTTGAAATTAAGTCAGTCAGACGATGATGATGATGTTTATGGTGAACAGTTTTATTTGTTAGTTCTAGCATTTTTGCAATATTTTTGAACCAGTTCTACCAATTCCTAGAGCAGTGTTTTTTTGTTGTTGTTTTTTTTTTACGTCCGTCTTAATTTTTGTGTTTTTTTTTTGTTTTGTTTTTTACGTCCGTCTTAATTTTGTGATTATGTACCCTTTCTTTCTATGATATAATTCAGACTATTTATCATCTGCTGTACAGTAGATCTGTCTGAGTTTGTTTTGTGAACTGGTCATTCAACACTTTTCAAATGCTTTCCCCCTTGAAAACAGTGCGATGGTTGACGAGGTTTCAGGCCTGTCGCCAACTTCTTCTCAGCTTTTGTTGAGGCCCAGCCTCTGTAAGTCAATTCTTTTTTTGTCTCTTGTTACCAAGCAGCGCTTTATTATGTGTTGTGGCTGCGACTAGTCCTCTCTGTCTACGTTCCTGAAGCACTGGTACAAACTGTACATGAACTTCAGTCTCCGTCTTGGACTGTCAGCGTCTCAAGAGGACTTCCATCAAGAGATTATGATGCCGCCACGTGAGCTCTTCAATCCACTCACTTCAGTCTGTTTCCAGAGGAAAACTGAATTCTCTGTGAGTAAGAACCTGTACTTGGCCAGAAGTAAATACTTCAGGCCTCTGGAACCCGAGAATCACAGCCAGGTCAACGTCTGGAACCTCAGACCACCAGATTTCTCTTTAAAGCTCTACACAACTGTGTCACCTCCTCAAAAGAAAGAAAGAAACTTCAGACCAAAGGTGACAAGAAGTGAAAGTATGAGGACATCTACGATAATTCTGCCTAGTATTTATTTATCTGAGGAAAACAACAAGAAGACGGAGAAGGAACCTCCAACCTTCATCACCAGGTACAAACCTCCAGATGCACTGGAGACGCAGGTGATGTTTGTCAGGACGGGCAAGTTTCCAACACAACAGTATGAGAACCCCAGACCTCATGACTTCAGAGGGGTGAGTGTGTCAAAATGGGAAAGTCATTGGTTCTTATCCCGATTTTAAGATGTTGTGTTTTAACAAAATCAACAAAAGCCCCTTGCCAGTTGATTGGTTTGACATGAACTACATATACTGCAGGGACGTTTCTGGGGTCTAAAGAAAGTTCTGGTTCCTAAAGAGGAAGATTAGACAGTTCCCTGTCCTTAGTGGTGTTTCCTGGGCTGGGAACGTGTCCTTATTGAGTACTGCTCTATTATTCAACTTTTGTATTTGAGTTGCTTGTAAATGTTTTGCAACCACAAGATGGCAGCAAACACCAATACAACCAATGGGTTAAGCACTTTTCACTTTTTTTTTTAAATATATATTCTTCAGCTTGATGACAATCTTCCAGACATGGTAACCACATATGACAGAGATCCTCGTTCCCTGAATCTCAGAATGAAGTATTTGGACACACGTATGTACATGTTTTTGGTAACTATAATTTATTGTGTATATAATAATGACTTAAATGACATTTTGATTTTGATGATAGATGACCTTGTTTCTCCTCAATTGCTAGTTGCAGTTATAATATTTTAAAAATAACCATTTTTTTGTCTGTTTCTAGTGAGAACTGTCAGATCTGACATGGACTATTGTCCTAAA